CTTTCCCCTCCTCTGGTCATTACCTTTGACCGAGTTTGGCAGAGAATCGTGTTGTTCAGGCTTTAGGCCTGCCCTACTCTGTGTAAAGGCCATCAGCATAACAGATCTCTGTTGGAGGGTTTATTTCGGGGCCCACAGATTCAAAGCTCTGGCTATCAAAAAGAAGGCCCCCCTGCTCTATTTCCCCACAAAAGAGACAGTCCCTGCCTGGCACGAGCTTCCAGTCAAATAAAATCTGGGACAATGGACAAAGAATTCAGACCCCAGGAGGCTCTGTTGATTTTTACAGAGATGCTGGCCGGAGCCGGCTGGAAAAACGGGTCACTGGGGTTTTTTTGTGGACCATTTTGCTGTAATTTGTTTCGAGGAAAGGAAGGTTTTCCATTTTGGAGGGCGGGATGAGCATTCAAAACGACCTTGCCAGATTGGTCTCCAGTCAACGAGATGAAACTCAGTCAAGACAAGTGCAAAGTCCGACACTCAGGAAGGCAAAAATATCAGATGCACCCCTACCCAATGGGGCATCACTGGCTAGGGGGTCGTACCGCTGACAAGGATCTGGGGGTGATCGTGGATCACAAATTGAACAGGTGCCAACCATGTGACACAGTTGCAAAAAAGGCTAACCCCATTCTGGGGTGTAGTAATGGGTATGTCGTATAGGACAGGGATTCTCAACCTTTTTCATTCTGAGCCCCCCACCCCCAACATGCTAGAAAAACTCCACGGCCCAGCTGTGCCACCACAACTGTTTTTCTGCATATAAAAGCCAGGCCTGGCGTTAAGGGGTAGCAAGCCGGGCAATTGCCACAGTGGGCACCGCGAAGCTAAATTGCTCAGGCTTCAGCTTCAGCCCCAGGGATTGTAGCTCCTGGCCTGTGCTGCCACATTTCACCACTAGAGGCCACTCTAAGACTAATCGACTTCTTGACGGCCCCGCCCACTAGAGTTGAAATTTCCTCCCACAAAAGCAATTAAAAATTTCCAAAGACTTTGGTCTCCAGTTTGTTTTATTAAGCGGAACAATATAAAGGGGAAGCGAATCCAGGCGGGAGCCCAGAGCCCCTGGGAGGGAAGAGCGGCTGCAGAGAGGGGCAGACACAGGCAGCAGGAACCATAGGCGCCGACTTCTGCTCCCATCAGAGGGTGCTCGACCTCCCTCTGCCCCTGGCCCCACCCCGCCCCCTCCCACTCCTGCCCCACCCCAATTCCAACCACTTCCCCAAAGTCCCTGCCCCAACTCTGCCCCCTCCCTTTCCCTATTCCGACTCCTTCCCCAAATCCTCTCCCCAGCCCCACCTCTTCCCCGCCTCCTCCCCTGAGCGGGTCACATTCCCGCTTCTCCCCCCTCCCTACCGGAGCTTGATACGCTGCCAAACAGCTGTTTGGCAGCGGCAAGGCGGGAAGTGCTGGGAGGTAGGCGGAGGAGCGGGGATGCAGCGCGCTCAGAGGAGGAGGAGGAGGAGGTGGAGCAGGGCGGGGGAGCGGGGAGGTAGGTGGAGGAGTGAGGACACGGCACGCTCAGGGGAGGAGGAGGTGAGGTGAGGTGGGGCGGGGGGAGGGGAGCTTGGCTGTCGGACGTTGCAGAGCCCCCACTAATTTTTCCCTGTGGGTGCTCCAGCCCCGGAGCACCGATGGAGTCGGCGCCTATGAGCAGAGGTGTTACTGAGTGCAGTTCGGCCATTGCACTGGGTGGGCAATCAGGAGAGAAGCGTTAGCAGGAGGAGCCCAGTGAGGGTGGGAGGGAGGAGCCCGGCTGGTCCCAGAGCTGTGCTGGCTGCGCTGGTGGCCGCTGTGCATTTGGCTGTGGTTAGATCTCCACTGAACCCTGCAAAGGTCACAGACCCTGCTTCTATCTGGGTGCAGACAGACTCGGTAGCGCAGCCCTTCATGACGGTCTTCCTGGCAGTTCCACCTGTGGGCGAGGGGGAGAAGGAGATGGTCAGTCTGAGGGGCGCAGCTCCACTCCTTGAGCCAGACGAGGACACAACCACCTGCCCCCTTCTCAGCTCTGCTCCTGTGAGCCCTGCCTAGGCCCCCCACCGCCTCCATCTTCCCTTTGGCTCTGCTCCGCCCAGCATGTGTGGCCCTGAACGGCCTCCCCCTTCTCCTTTACTGTGACACGGACTCACTGTATGTCCTTGAACAAGTTACTTGCAGCCCGGATCTAGAGCCCACCCATGACACCCGGATTGGATCAGGCCTGTATGAGACCGCTGTTCGTCTAGCAGAGCAGCAGCTCCCTGTTGGTGGCAGAGTGGGATCTGAAGGAAGGGTGGCTTCGTAGTGCGTTAAGGCACCATGATGGGACTCTGCAAAACAGGGGTCAGTTCCCCAGCCCTGCCACAGCCTTCCTGTGCGACCTTGGACAAGTCACGGCAGTGCTCTGTGCCTCAGTTTCCCCATCTTTAAAATGGGGAGAAAGTTCCCCACTACACCTATTGAAATTGCAGGCTCTTTGGGGTCTGGACTATATCTCCCTATGAGACTTTTAGTGCCCAGCGCAACACGGATCCCTGATCTTCGCTGGGGTTCTGTTCAGTGCCCGGCATGACAGGGGCTCCCAGGACTAAACCAGCCCCTACCACGAAGAGTTTACAGGCGAAACTATACACAGGCAACAGATGGGAGAAGCACCAGAGGCACAGGGAGGGGAAGACACTGGCCCAAGGTCACACCGGGGGCCAGCGCTGGGAACAGAACCCAGGAGTCCTGATCTGCTGCCGAAACCTTTCCCTAGCAGCCCCCACCCAGCGTCTCGCTTCTGCCCTATGAGAGGTGGGGGCACAACAAAGGAAAATAACCCCAGAATAAATGAACAGAAGTGACCTGATGTTAGGGTCCCGGCGATCTCGACACAGTGGGTCTCGACTCCAGTACAATTGATGGTCTCTTCACGGCAGTGCTCAGAGGACAGAGAGTAGCAGCCACGGCAGCGCCGGCCGTTGGGTTCGGTCTTAGCTGGGGGCACTGGGAAGAAGTGGAGCAAACGCAGTCAGCTCGGGGGACGAGCCCCAGGAGGCGTCGGGGCAGGGAGAGCAGCTGGGGGCTGCACAGCTCAGCCCTGGGCTCCCCCTGCAGGGGGAGCTGTAGCTCTGGGGACGCCGGGGGCAGCAGGGGCCGGGGAGAGGTTTGCAGCAGGGAGCCCCGGACCCCGCCCCGGGTGGGGTCAGCTGGGTTCACACCTGGGGGCAGCCTAAAGCCCCGCCCACTAAACTCCACCCAGCCAGGGGCTCAGTGTTATTCCATGGGGCGCCCCCTGCAGGGTGGGAGGACCAGGCTCCGGAAGTTAATGTGGGGCAGGTTCCTGGCAGCAGGAGGTGCAGGGGATGGTGGAGAAGAGGTGGAGCTGGGGAGATGTACCTGAAATGGGAGACGGTGTGCAGGCATCCCCCTGGCAGCAGGTGAAGCTCGACCTTCTTGTCTTTCCCATCCCAAAGTTCATAGGGAAGGGGGTGTCTTTACATTGGCTGGATGTCGCACAGCCCATGATAATGCTCTGGGTCTTCTCTCCAACTGCACAGGAGGACAAGTCCGAGATTTAGTCCCCTTGCACTCCCACCCCATCAACGCCCTCTTCACAACGACACCCATATGCCATTAGCCTTCCTCTCTCTACCCATGGCACAGAGAGGGGAAGTGACTCCCCCGACTTCCCACGGGGCTACACTAAGTTTTCAGCACCTAAATCCAGCATTTAGATCCTCCAGCTCCCCACTCAGCTGCTGCCTAACCCCGGGGGCCCCGAATCTCCTGAGACACCCACCCTGGAGCCAGGGGGCCAGGCACGACCGTAGGAGGGGAGAGATCTGGGCTGAAGACCTCAACCCGATTCAGGCCGAGTGGGGATTTGAACTTGTCTCCCTCAGGGTCCAGCTGAGCCCCTAGCTGCTGGGGTCTCCTGGCAGCCCCTCCTCCACAGCCGTCATTCGCAAAGGCTGACCCGGTCCTGACCCCGGATTCCCGGCAAGGGGTTCCCGGCTGTGGATCCCAAGCAGAGCTGGGCGCCTCCATTCAGCCCAGACTTAGGGGCTTAACTCCGGGCGAGGGGCGGGGCTTAAGCCACACCCCTTTCCTCAGCATTTCCTATTGGCTGGTTTAGGCAGGTGTCTGCTCTGCATGCTGGCTCTGGCAGATCCCATCCTCAGGTGCCTCCCTCACCCCATGCACCGTACAGGGAGCCGGGCCCCGACCCACTGGCTGGCGAGTCGCCTGGGGGTTCGGCATCGCAATGCTGAGCCGAAGGCCCCGTTGGGGAGCTAGCCACAGGGTGTGGCATAGAACCCAGGCGTCCTGGCTCCTTACCCGCTGCTCAGACCCACCCACCCCATGCCCTTCCCAGAGCTGGGACTAGGAGAGGACCCAGGCGTCCTGGCTCCCCAGCCTGTTCCCTGGCCCAGGTTGGGTGGGGTCTAGGGTTACCATCCATCCGTATTTCCCCGGACATGTCCGGCTTTTTCGTCTTTAAATAGCCGTCCGGGAGGAATTGGTAACAATGTTAAAAGGTCCGGGATTTTCCCACCTCCCATCCCTCCCTCCCTCCCTTCCATGCAGAGTGCGGCGTGGCTGATTGGGCGGCTGGGCCTGATTGAGTCGCTCCCATTGGCCTCCAGCAGCCAGAGCCCCCCCCTGCTCACTCTGCGGGGGAGGCGTGTTTTGCCTCCAGGTGGAGGAGCCAGCATCTGACCGGCATGGGCATGGTAAGGGGAGTCCCGGGGGGCAGTCAGGGAACAGGGGGAGGGTTGGATGGGTCCCTGGCCTCCACCTGCCATCCCCACTCCGCGCGTCCTCCCCCCCCCACCTCTCCCATGCCTGCTTGTGCTGCTGGAGTAGCACATTCCTACGCCCTCCCGGCAGCAACTGCTGTCTGGGGTCCTAGTGCCCCCCATCCACTAATGGCAAAGCAGGCTGCCCTTACCCTGCTCTTCCACCCTAGCCCTGAGCCTCTCCAATGCCCCAAACCCCTCAACCCCAGCCCCAACCCTCATCCCCCCGCACCCTAATCCTCTGCCCCAGCCCTGAGCCCCCTCCTGCATCATGA